TTGCAAATCTTGTTGTTAGGATAATTTGTGTCTAAACTGTTGTTGTTGCCTTTATGTTCTGGTGTGAAATGAGTCCCTTTGCTGTTGTAAAACTCAAAAACCTTTGTTCCAATCAAAGTGACTCTGTTCTAAGTGGCCGATTAAATAAAGCTTCTATGCGCACTGATCGACGGACTGAGGTATTATTTTCTGACCGGTCTCTGGCTTATTGAGTGGTGTTTGTTTGACTGAAAAAAATCCTCATTAAAGCCAATTTAATGAAACTGTACTTAAATTAGATCAGCAAATGGCAGCACTCGATAACTAAACAGTATATGTAGATCCACAGCTTTTAAACAAACATACACCAGTATTTTATTCACTATTTGTGCAGAGTAGCATCCTAAAATCCTCCAGTTTCCACGGTGATGAGGATGGAGGTGGGTGGGTAGAGGCACCTAGAGTGACCTTGCTGAGACTGTTTTGTAATTCAGCATCTGCCTTACTGCAGCCAGGTGTCTCTTACAAGGAGGAAGCTGAAGTAACTCAGACGCTGGGTGGCCGTGTGTGTGTGTGTGTGCGTGTGTGTGCAAACTTAGTGTGAAATTTGATGATGATATTGACCTAAGCATGTTTGAGGTTATAGGCATCATTTTTTGTGCAGATGTGTGAGGATTCTACAAATGTTCCTGTTATTCCTCTGTGGATATTAATGGACTGCAGGTCGTTGATGATGCTTCTTGAGGAAAAAGTGAAAGAAAGGCATTGATGCATCTCATCGGATTAGATTGACAGTCTATTTGCCGGAGAAACGAGAAAATGCACATGCACCATTATTGTGTTCGTGAGAGTAGGAGCACATTTGTGTCTGTCTGTCGTCCTCTGTCACGCACACACGCACACACACACACACACTCTCAGGCAAACACAAACATGAGGAGGAGGTAGAGGTGTAGGAGGTAGAGATGGATTGTGGCATTCAGACAGTTTAAAGAAGGGCAGCAGCAAGATGCACAGTTTCACTAAAATTTTGTGAGGTGTGAGGAGGAGACAGAGAGATTTCAAGAGCTCTGTCTGTGAGGGTATGTGACACAGGGCTGAATTATCTGTATATAGAAGCTACAATAACCACAATCTGCAACATTACAGCGAGAGAGACATAAAAAACAGCATAAAAAGCTCAACAAAAAAGATCCAGCACTGTTATCCCTCATGAAAATGAAACTAAATGAGGCACGAAGAATTATAATTTGCCAACAAATATGGAGTCGTTATCGGGGACAGAGGCAGAATTGTAATGATTCTTACAGTCATTCAGACACGAAAACAGCAAATGGCCAAAGGGAAGTGGACCTCTCACAGGAAGGGAACAGAGAGAGAGAACGAAAATTAGAGTGTGTGTTGTAATTGTGTGTGAACGGACCATTGGTTTGAACTGACCACTGGTGGTTTATGACCTTAATCATCTCAGATCACTGGCATTTAGTTTTAACTCAACTCAAATTAAAACATTATTTTTCCTCTGTTAGAATTGAACAAACCAAACTGTCTAGTTGTAGTTTTATTGGTTTTAAGTGTTAGTGTTGATGTGATATCTCTGAGAAATCAGAGAAGAGAATGTTAAGGAGACAGAAAACAAATGCCCACATCTGCACCAAAGTGTAATGGGTTCATTCCTGACCCACACCACATCCTTCCACCAAATTTCATTATAATCTCAGCAGTATTTTTGTGTGATACTGCTAACTAACATATAAATAGACAAAAAAACGCAGATGAAAATGTTTCCCCCTGGCAGAGGTAACTATGGAGCTTCATTGTTTTCACAGAGAAGCGTACTTCTGTTAATGTTTCATGTGAAAAGAACTGAAAAGGTAAAATCATCCAGTATTTCACAATAGGATACAAAAAAGATTTGAGAAAAATCTGGATCAGATTAAATAAAAACATGTTCTAGACAACTGAGTTGAGAACCACTGGCTTACAGTTTCACCTGTTCAGATGCTCCAGTGTGTTAAAAGACACGAATATCACAAACGTGTTGAATATGTGATTTATTCTGGAGGGGTGTTGGTTTATAAGCGGCACGATCACTGCCTCACTCACTGTCTGTCTGAGCCTCGCAGACTGTCGTCCTCTGGCAGACCAAACTTCCAGGGCAGATGGCGGTCAAAGATGGCCCTCTGAACATCATGGGAGCCACGGAAGCGGCACTAATGGAGGACACGGTCTGGTGGCCTATTGTCTGAGCCAACTGTTATTTTAGCCTGAAGTGCCGGAACTTGGCTCGCTTCTGTACAGTAGCTGAGTCATTTAGCGTTTGGGGTGGTCATTTCAGAAAATCTCTTTTTAATCATCATTGTCTCAGTCTAATACGTAAAAAGTACTCATGAGTTAAGTTTCAAGAATTTGTAATCTGACCTGAGGTGATGGATTGCTCAAATGTTCCCCTGTTTCCTTATGATATTCTAGCAGGAGTCTAATATAATGAAATGTATGCAGACGGCAACAACAATGTTTACTGCTATACATTAGATAAGATAAAACTTTTTTGACAACACCAGGGAAATTCACTTTTCACAGCGGCAGAAAGTCAGACGTGAGAATAAATCAATAAAAATACCAATAATATGTACAGATATACAGCTTTCACAACGGAAATGTTTTGGGAGATAAGTGTACTTGAGTAAAGTGCAGTGGCACAGGATGGTTGCATGAGGATGGATACTGTATTTGTGAATCAGGAGATTTTGAAATAGACACATCCATATGTATGCATCTATAGACAGTTTATACATGTATAGGTGTATGAGTATGAGGTACACCGGGAATATGAGTATAATATTATCCTACAAGCTTCATTTCTCATTTTGTTTTAACTTGTGTTTCCTAATTGTCTCTATTTCCTTCCTCTGCTCCGAGTTCAGAGCCGCAGAGATGTCGTCTCGATTCCAAAATATCATTGCAGCTGTAATAAATCTCACCTTGTTCTATCTATCAGGACTCATTTTAAATTGAGCTGCACAGTAATTTCATGTGCTACGTTTGTGGGCAGGAACAAAGTGTCTCTGTGGCTTATTTCAGGAAATGATATGCAGCAGGAATTGATGCTCGCTAACCAAACCTCACCTGCCCCACAGCTGCTCAATCAAAAATCGGAACATTTAGACTTGGTGATATTCCCTCTTGAGCTGCCTGTAATTGATTGATATGCTCAGCACTGCGCCCATTCTGCATGTGACCAGATGCATGTACGTAATTACACAGAAAAGTGGAATCCAGATACAAACAAGGACATTTATTCCTTCAACAGCAGAGTCTCTCACATTTGGCTGCAGGAGAAGCAGATATTCAGGTGACGTTGTTGTTTAAACACTTTCTCTGTGTCTCTCTCAACAGGCCCAGATCCAAATCATCATTAGAATTAATTAGATCCTGTGGTAAAACCCTGATAGATCCTTTGCCATAAAATGTTTCCTGCTACAGTCTTAATAATTCTATTCCACCGGGCAGATGTATTTGCTTGGCTTGAATCACATTCCAGCCATGGAGAGGAAACCGTTTTTAAATCTCTGTTGCCCTCCAGTGTTGACAGACTAAATCACAGCTCGAGTTAATACAACTAATAAAAGGAGTTATGCTGCTTTTGTGTCTCCTTCGACACTGTTGCTCTTAAAAGTGATTCCTGCAGCAGATCCCTCACTGAACAGTTCTGTTCCTTTACTCAGTTTTTTAATTCAATTGTATTTATATAGCGCCAAATCACAACTCACATTATCACTAGGCATTCTACATAGTTAGTTCACGACCTCACAATATTATACAAAAACCTGACATCTCACTATGTGGTAAGATGATGTCAATTTCCTAGATAAGGTCGTTATTTTCATACCAAATCAAATTCGATCTTTTTGAATAACCCATATTCACAAACCAGGGTTGCATCATAGGGTTTAACAATCTGTACAAGGTGTGACATCCTCTGTCCTTAACCCTCGATAAGAGAGAAGAAAAGATGCCAAGACAGAACCCAATTTTAAGGCCTGATTACATATCAGCACATGCTAAGCAAATATCGGGGTCAAAGTTCAACAAGAAGCCACGCGGTGATTTGCCCTTAACACAGCAAGCAAATGTTTTATTCGTCCTCCATCCGTCCTATTCTTGTGAACACGATATCTCACGAAAGCCTTGAGGGAATTTCTTGAGATTTGGACTCAAGGATGAACTGAACAGATTTTGGTCGTCAAAGGCCAAGTTCACATAACTTCACAAAACCCTTATTTGCCTTGTGAACATGTTATCTCCAAGAAAATCTCTCCAGATATGGCAAAAATGTTTACTTAGAGTCACAGATTAAGTGATTGGATTAAGGTGATCACAGGTCAAAGGTCATGGCTGCCTCACATAACGTGTTTTTGGCCTCTTGAATATGATATATCAAGTCTGCCTTGCCTTGGGAATTTCTTCAAATATTCAAATATTCACTGATTAGATTTCAGTGTCATGTCATGAAAAAAGCCTTTGTCACAGACAGTATTTTCACGCTCTGAATCCCAGGTACTCAGCAACTAATAACATCAATAATAATGTGTTACACTGACTGGGTCAAGATATTATAAATGTTTGCTAAATGGGACAATGACTAATTAATGTTGTTGATGAAGTTGCACCAGTGATATCCCTGTAATGACAGAGGTTGTGTTTACTCAATAATACAATAGATGAGCATGTTATTGAGGAGAGAGGGTTTTAAGTTTTCAGTTTCAGAATGATGCTCAAGAGAAGCTTTTGGGCAGATGTTCCCATAAAACTTTTTTTCTCTTCCCTACAGCGTTGAATTGTCCATGCAACTCCACACACACACGCTCGCACACTTGCACACTCACACACACACACACAC